TCAATGACACAGAGTATATAGATGCCTCAAGAGTATAAATGACTTCGTGATACAAATATTGAAATGATATTTCCACTAAAGAGAGAGACTGCAACTGAAGTTCATTAATATGGAATACTAATTCAGGGTTAGAACACTTGGTGATGGGAGAGGCTTGTATGGTATGTTAAAGCATCATGTTAAATGTTCTGTATTCTGGACTGTTAATTTGATGTAATAGTCTCCTACTCATTTAATAACCATAGTCATAATATTGCAGGTACTGAAATTGGTTATTTGTTGAAACAGATATTTTTATTCATATTACGATTAGTATTTTTAGTTTTGTATATAGCCTTAAAACTGATTGATGCACGATCCTCACCAAAACCTCTTCCTCCCAAGGAGGACACCCATCATAAAGCGAAGAGCAGCAATCACAGGAAAATTACATGTGAAAAGATTATTGATTATAGATTCAAAAATTATCAATGTAACCAGATACAGATGTGAAATCATGTCAGCGTTTCCAGCTCTATATTCATCCTTATTAATGTACAGATAATCAATTAGTATAACCATGTCCCACAGCTTGCCTAACCTCGCTGGAAGATTAATCAGTACCAAAAACATTACTTGGATCAACATAATATGTCTACATGTTATTTTATTGAATTAGCATTGTTGTTCTGACATGTTCCCTTTTTGAAAAACATCAGATCTATTTACCTCCAATGGGACATTCCACGTTGTAAACTTAGTACCAAACATACACAACCAGCTGCGAAGACTTTCCTAGTTGTAGTCCATTGTACATTTATATATTACACTGACAGCTCCATCAGTGGGCAGACAGAAATGAGAAATGTAATATAAATGAAGCACTGTATTATTCATATCATATATGGTCCTAACTCCCACTGTGGTCAGATATTCCATTTCATTCATTTCCCCTCAAACAGTTAATTCTATAGTCAGAGATATTCCTACTTACACAAGACCACTAGGGTAAGTTGTTCCCCTTCAGTAAGTAAACCCACACTCAGTGTAATTTTACTTTGAGAGATGTTCCCAGTAACACCTGGACACTGGGGTTAGTTTCTTCCCTTTGGCTAGGAACCCATACTCAGTACAATTTGAATTGAAAGATGCTCACTGACTCACATTGTCACTGGAATCAGGTGTTACCTTTAGGCTACTGACCCACATGCAATACAGTTCAACAGTGTAAGATATTCTCTTGTCAATGCTCCACACTTACTATGAACGAATGAAAACGTGCAGCACAGGAACAGGTCCTTCGGCCCTCCAAGCCTGTGGTGACCATCATGCCCTGTCATTTTTCGATCCGTATCCCTCTATTCCCTCCCTATTCATGTACCCATCTAGGTGCCTGTTAAATGTCTTCATTGTGTCCGCTTCCACCATCTCTTCTGCTAGTGCATTCCAGGTTGCTACGACTCTCTATGTGAAAAACTTCCCTCGCACATCTCCCTTAAACTTTCCCCCTCTGACCTTGAACCTGTGCCCCTTGTAACTGAAACTTAAAACGTGGGAAAAAGTCTCTGACTATCCACCCTATCTATGCCTCTCATAATTTTGTAGATCTCTATCAGGTCTCCTCTCGGGTGCTGTCTTTTTAACCTTTCCTCATAATTAACGCCCTGGAGACCAGGCAACATTCTGGTGAACCTTCTCTGTACTCTCTCCAAAGCTTCCACATCCTTCTGGTAGAGTGGTGACCAAAAATGTACACAATACTCCAAAGGCAGTCTGACATGGGTTTTAGATAGCTGCGATAGCAAGACCTGCAGGTGCTGGAGTCAGAGATGACGAAGTGTGGAGCTGGAGGAACACAGCATGCTCGGCAGCATCAGAGGAGCAGGAAAGCTGATGTTTTGGGACCCTTCTTCAGAAATGGGGAGGGGGAGGGGAGCTCAGAAATAAATACAGAGAGGAGGTGTGGGGCTGGGGAAGGTAGGTGGGCTGGTGATAGGTGAGTGCAAGTAGGCAGTGGTGGGGATTGGTTAGTGAGGCGGCAGGAGCAGATAGGTAGGAGAGAAGACGGACAGGTTGTGTCAGGTCAAGGGGGCGGGGATGAGAGGGAGGGTTGATCATGGGATGAGGCCAGGGGTGGGGAGATTTTGAAACTGGTAAAGTCCATGTTCAGGCCATTGCGCTCCTGAGGGGGTACATGAGGTGCTGCTCCTCCAGTTTCCTCCTAGACCTGACACGACCTGTCCATCTTCTCTCGCACCTATCCATCACTCCCACCTCACTGACCAAGCCCCACCACTCACCTATCACCATCCCAACTACTTTTTCCACTCCACCGCTCCTCTTTCTTTGTATTTCTGAGCTCCCCTCCCTCTCCCCATTTCTGAAGAAGGGTCTCAACCCAAAACATCAGCTTTTATATAGCTGCAACATGTACAGCCAACTCTTGTACTCCACACCCCGGACGGTAAAGGCAAGCATGCCATATGCCTTCTTGATCACCTTGGCTACCTGTGTTGCCACTTTCAGCGAATTGTGGACCTGCACGCCCAGATCAGTCTGAATGTTAATGTTCCTAAGGGTTCTGTCCTTTACTACAATGCTGTATTTGCAGATACCCACAGAAAAGCCAGAAAACTGGGGTCAGAAGCTCCTATTTGAGCAGTCAGTACAATTCTACAATGACACATCCTCCCAGCAACATGAGGCCACAGCAATCAAAGGGTCCAGCCTGAGGTTTGTGATCATTATGCAAAAAAAATCCTTGATCAGTAATCCCTTCACTCAGAGCGATTCCTGGAGATCTGGATCAACAGTATACAACATCCCACTCAATCACTGGATAATGCAATGTGCCTGTGAGCTACAGACAAAATATTTATTTTTTCTCTCAGTTGAGGAATTACATCACAGAGTTAGTTTGGAAATGTTAAATTGTGCACTGATATCACACATCAGGAACTCTTACTGTCCATGTATACATCATGCACAGCAGTGGAGCAGCCTTCAGACAGCATCGGACATCAAGGAGTCGGATGCTCTGAGAAATAAAGACTAAAATTCAAGAGATGAATAAAAGACTCCAAGACAGCCCAGCACAGACTGCTAGTGCCCCAGAATGCTCAGTCTTCTGTATTGTACTAACCTCTGGCATTATGGCAGTAATGTGTGTTCTTGAATCTTAAGAGTCTTACTGGATACCAAATGAAATTTGTTTAATACCTTGCTACCCAACACTCCATCGCCTGTACTTTCCTTCAAGTGAACCATTTTGGAATTGAAGAAACAGGCAGTTATTGCATCAAAGAGTCTGATCGACTACATGACTCCCCGATGTAAAACATGCTACGCCAGATATATCCCAGCCGGCAGTATTGATGCAGCAGGCCTAACATTTACAATGCACTGTGGGAAAGTTCAGCTTGGTGTTATTGTTACTGCAAATGGGGCAGCATCGTGGTTCAGTGGTTAGTACTGTTGCCTCACAGTGCCAGCGTCCTGGGTTCAATTCCACCCTTGGGTGACTGTCTGTGTGGAGTTTGCACATTCTCCCCGTGTCTGCGTGGGTTTCCTCCCAGTGCGCCAGTTTCCTCCCACAGTCCAAAGGTGTGCAAACTAGGTGGATTGGCCATGCCAAATTGCCCGTAGTGTCTCAGGGGTGTGTTAGATAAGATGGGTTCAAGGGGGATGGGTCTGGGTGAGATGCTCTAAGGGTCAGTGTGGACTCGTTGGGCTGAAGGGCCTGTTTCCACACTCTAGGGATTCAATGATTCTAAATATTTATAAACTTCCATGTGCTAGCTGGCAAAAACAAGTTTCTTCAATACTACCTCACTCCCACACCCAACATACTTTCCATTACTTAATAGCCACAAAACAGCCTGGGGTTACTCAGCATCTAAAAGTGACCTTCAATAAATGACCTCACCTTGACACAGTGATCGGACAAAATGAAAAATTTCATCCAACCAGAAGGAGCTGAACATACTGAACTGCCCAACGTGGCCATCCTCAAACAGCACAGTGTCTAGCTATGAACAACTTCACACAAAGAGAACACAGGATAGTAGTCATTCCCACTCACCCCCAATTTCCAACCATCCAAAATGCAAGGAAAATATGACAACAGTTTTAAGTGGCAGATTGGCCAAAATTAGCCAGCGAGATCTTTACTTGCCTTCCCTTGAACACGGAGGGTGTCTTGCTGAAATCTAATTTCAAGAAGCACTGACTGCACTGATACAGATCTCTCGTCCACATCAGCCAGTCAGCATCAGCACTCTACTGCCCACTTCAAGGTACAGGAGATAGTAGGAACTGCAGATGCTGGAGAATCTGAGATAACAAGGTGTAGAGCTGGATGAACACAGCAGGCCAAGCATTATCAGAGGAGCAGGAAAGCTGACGTTTTGGGCCTAGAAACTCCCCCTCCCACTCCTTAGATGACATGTCCATCCTGGGCCTCCTGCAGTGCCACAACGATGTCATCCGAAGGTTGCAGGAACAGCACCTCATATTTCGTTTGGGAACCCTGCAGCCCAATGGTATCAATGTGGACTTCACAAGTTTCAAAATCTCCCCTCCCCCTACCGCATCCCAAAATCAGTCCAGCTTGTCCCCGCCTCCCTAACCTGTCCTTCCTCCCACCTCAAGCCCCACTCCCATCTCCTATTACTAGCCTCATCCTGCCCCCTTGACCTATCTCTCTCCCTATTTATTTCAGAATCCCCTTCTCCTCCCCCATTTCTGAAGGGTCTAGGCCCGAGGCCCGAAACATCAGCTTTCCCGCTCCTCTGATGCTGCTTAGCCTGCTGCGTTCCTCCAACTCTGTACCTTTTCTCCAGTTTCTCCAATGATTTGTCTTTTCGTCCATATTAACCTTCAGACGGCGTTCCCTGGGCTGGATCTCACATCCTATTGGCCGAAATCACAGGATTGACAGACGCTTTGACCAATAGAAGCGGGGTAGTGAGCTAAAGCCCGCCCTGAGGGCTCACGCGCAGTCTCGAGGTGCGGTCATTTAACCGATACTGCGCGAGCTCGCGGGCAGTGTCGCGCCGGAGAGAAATTAGTTTAATTTTAAATCTTTCCGGTGAGAAAACAGCTTCAACATTCATCAGTAAACTGTTAATGTGCAGATATACTGAGGAGGAAGCCTTTCCTATCTATGTTCCCGTCCAAATGATGTTGGCACTCGGGGTTAACAGGACACCAGGATGGGATGCAAAGGATTTTGAGTGAAGTGAGAGGAGAAATTGTGGGGGAACTGGCCATAATATTACAGTCTCCCCTGGACTCGGAGGTGGTGCCCGGAGACTCTAGGATTGACAACGTTACGGACTTGTTCCAAAAAGGATTTACAGCCTCATCAGTTTAACTCTGGTGGTGGGGAAGCTTCTGGCAACAATTATTTGGAATAAAGTTGTAGTCACATGGAAAAAGGTGGGTTGATTAGGAAGAATCAAGGGGGAATTTTGCATTATTAACTTGCTAAAGTTTTTTGATAAGTTAATGGAGAGAGTCGATAAGGGCAATGTTACTGATGGACATGGATTTCCAGAACATAAGAACTAGGACCAGGAGTAGGCCATCCGGCCCTTCGAGCCTGCCCCGCCATTTAATAAGATCATGGCTGATCTTTTTGAGACTCGGCTCCACTTACCCGCCCACTCACCATAACCCTTAAGTCCTTTACTGTTCACCGTAAAGGTGCCACACAACAGATTTGTGAGGAAGGTTATAGTGGCAAAATAGATTCAAAACTGAGTGATAGGAAAGAGAAAGTAATGAGTCAATGGATATTTTTCTGGCTGGCGGAAGGTTTGGATTGGAGTTCCTGGGGGTCAATATTGGGGCCCATGTTTTTTTTTTGATATCCCAACATTTGGGTAAAAGGCAAGAGATTGCCAGATAATAAAGCTGGATTAGGTAATAGAGCTGAGGCAGGCTTGATGGAATGAATGGCTTCTATGACTGAAATTATTGTGTGAATTCTGACTGGACACAGTGTCTGATCAGTGATCACTATGGCCATGGCAGGTGGGAGCCAGTGAGACCAGACTGTGAGAGCAAGGGAGTTGCCAGAGAGTCATAGAGATGTGCAGCACCGAAACAGACCCTTCAGTCCAACTCATCCATGCCAAACAGATTTCCTATATTAACCTAGTCCCATTTGCCAGCATTTGGCCCATATCCCTCTAAACCCTTCCTATTCGTATACCCATCCAGATGTCTTTTAAATGTTGTGATTGTACCAGCCTCCTCCACTTCGTCTGGCAGCTCATTCCATACCCACACCACTCTGTGTGGGGGAAAAAAAGTTGCTCTTTGGGTCCCTTTTAAATCCTTCCTCTCTCATCTTAAACCTCTGCCCTATAGTTTTGGTCTCGCTTGTCTATTTAACCTATCCACGCCACTTGATTTTACAAGCCCCTATAAGTTACCCCCTAGCCTCCAATGCTGCAGGAAAGGTAGCCCCAGCCTATTTAGTCTCCCTGGATAGCTCAAACCCTCCATCCTTGGCAACATCCCAGTAAATCTTTTCTGAACCCTTTCAAGTTTCACAACGTCCTTCCTATAGAAGCGAAACCAGAATTGCACACAGTATTCCAAATGTGGTCTAACCAACGTACTGTACAGGTGCAAGATGACCTCCAAAGTCCTATACTCAATGCACTTATCAGTAAAAGCAAGCATACAAAATGCCCTTTTCACTATGCTACCTACTAGAACTCCACTTTCAAGGAACTATGAACCTGTACTCCAAGGTCTCTTTGTGTAGCAAATCTCCCCAGGACCTTACCAATAAGTGTATTAGTCCTGCTCCAATTTGCCTTTCCAAAATGCATAGCAGTTTTGTTTAAATTGTGTATTTGCTGGAGTTCCAGGCAGGTACTTTAGGGATTTGCCAAAATTGTAATTCCAGTTCACACTATTTTCTCATATTTTCTCTCCAGTTATAATCCACATCCAATGTGAACAACGAGGTGGGAAAAAGGATCCATCTGGAGGGAACTGGGATCGTTGAATGAATAATAGCAGCAGGTTAATCACTACAGGACTATGAGAGTACCAACCCAATAGAATCCTTCAAAGAGCTTTCATAGATGAACAATTGAGAAAGGTATGAAAGTTCTATTTAATGTGGTTAAAATACTAGTCCTTTCGACCTGGATAAACAATACAAGGAAGCTTTAGACACAAACATTTACAAAGTATTTAGGAAACAATTAGAAGCTGAATGTTAGAGCAATTACCCAGTATGAGGTTCTGCAATCAAATGATTTCACTTTCCATTAGAAAACACGGTTACAAGGGATTTTTTTCTGTGTGATTTGTGTCATAGTATTTGATCAGTAAGGTGACTCTATTTTCAGCCAGAGTAGAACCAACTGATGAGACACTCTTTATGTGGTGCATCTGAAGTCTGTCACTGTTTAGTTCTGAATATTAAAATGGTTCTGACAAATCAAGTGGGAGACTGAACTAAGTTACTTCCTTTCAATTCACTAACATGATACTGAGACAAACATCTGAGATTAGCACTACCTCTGACCAGATGTAGTGGAGTCTTGTCGGATAGTAAATGTTGAATACAGTCTCATGATTATCAGCACTTGCAGTTTGTATGACTGGAGTCAATGAGATATTTCATTGTGGCCTTATGTTGTTTGTCTCTGTGATCAATGCAAGGCAGCATGCTTCTTTCTTAACTAAGAATCTCAAATTTATATAAGATCAATGACATGCAAGTGATCCCAATGGTATGATGGAAGAACTGACTAAAACTGATATTGTAAGTAGACTAAGAATATGATAAATAAACAGGAAACATTTAAATGATTGTTCATTTAAAAAAAAAAATTCCCTTAAAGACAAAAACAGAGCAGAGATCAATCTAAAGCTCACTCAGAAAATGTCACTTACTTTTTGAGGCATAGATAGGGTAAATTATGGACATAAGGAAATGATAGACATTGAACAAATAATGTTCTGTCTTCAGACTGGAAAACCCAAGATCCCTACCAGAAAAAGTCAATAGACTAATAAGAATGAAGTAACTGAACACTTTAATACTTAGAGACAAAGTTCTGGAGAAAATTAAGGAACTTTTTTTCATTTCTGGGATATGGATGTTATTGGCTGAGTCAACATTTGTTGCTGTTGAACTGAGCTTTTCTTGCCATTCTAAAGGGTAGTTAAGAATCAACGATATTCAAGAAGGTCTGGATTCACATGTAGGCCAGAATAGGTGGCAGTTTTCCTTCTCTAAAAGGCATGAGTGAACCATATGAATTTTAATGACAATTCATAATCACTATTAGCCCAACTTTTAATTCCAGATTTCTATTGAATTCAAATTTCACTACAGTGGGATTTGAACCTATGTTCCTAAAATGTTAAGCTGGATGTCCTAGACTACTCATTCAGTCTGTCATAATCCTCAGGACTTGATAGCCTGCATTCTAGGGTTCTAAAAGATACAGATGCAGAAATAGTGGTCATGATTTTCCAACATTTCCTCGTATCTGGATCGGTATCAGCAGATTTCAAGTTAGCAAATGGAACATGGGCAGCTCAAGAAATAAGGATGAGAGAGAACAGGAAACTTGTGGACAGAGGGCTTGACTTCGGTCATTACAAAAATGCTGAAATTTATTATGAAGGAAGTCTTAATGCAATTGGAAAAGTATAGTCTGATTAGAATAAGTCACCATGGTTTAACAAAAGGGAAATCTTGTTTGATAAACTTTTTTTGTGTGTGTGTGTAAGACTAATCAGGGAGATAAAGGAAATTGTGGATGTTGTATACTTGGGTTTTCTATATGTAGGGGATTCTGCAAGATGCCATACAAAAGATAATACTTAAGAATTTGAAGTTGGGGCTAATACATTAACAGGCACAGAGAATGAATTATGGATAGGAAGCACAGCATCACAGAAAATGGGCTGGTACTTAACAAGGCAACGTTCTCATTTTCATTTTCAGTGTTTCTTTCTGGAATCTGGAACAACTGTAACTGTCATGGCTAAAAGTTCAAGTGGGAAGAAATTAGTTGCTTCAAAAAAAATGAAAATGGTAGGTTCACAGGATTCTTTAAAACATTGTTTCTTTCTTGATAAACGGCCTGATCTTGTGCAAGAACCTGTAGCTCTCCGAGGAATAAGTAACAAGATGGGCTATATAGAAATAGTAAAGTGAGTGACTGACTGGCTTGAGTTGCATGAAGGTAACAGGTGGAGGAAGCTCGTGGAGGAAGCTCAAGGAGTACTTGAACTGTCCAGTAGATACTTGGTATTGAGGGCTGTAAGGTGGATCAAGAAAGGGTCTGCAGTGCAAGAGCAGGGACCAAGAGGCCACCGGACTAGAGTGGAACATTGAGCTTAGATGTGCTGGCAGATAAGGAGAGCAGTTCTTTATATGAGAAATTCTTTAGCCAGCAGAATTGATAGTCTTTTTTACAGACCTGAGCAGTTCCTTTACAGTGTATGGTATCACAATGTTAGAGACATGAGCGTCTAGGATAAAATGGGACCACCTTTGAGAAGAAAGGGAGGATGGAAGATATTGGTATTTGGGATAATACTCAAAATATGTAAAGGAGGGGTCACATTTTCTCTGAAAGTTCACAAAATACAAACAATGGGAGTAAAGACATCCCCATAGATGCAATGGATATAATCTGTGACAAATGGCTCATCTAATCGCAGGCTGCTTCTCTCCCACATCTCCTGACAGACTCAGTGTGAGTCTATCAGCAGCAAATGTGGGAGAGAAGCAGTGAGATGGAGAGTGTTGGCAGAGAGCAAAGATGCCAGAAGAAGTGAGGGTGGTGAAATTTGGGGCAGAAAGTGAGTGTTGTGAGGCCATGGCCCACTTTTATACTCCAAAAGATAACTGTCTTCAAACACAGTTTATGCAAGAGCGTTACTTCAGTTCACTACACTCCATAGAATGCACCTTTTCACTGTATCGAACACCCACTCCCTCGTTTCATTAAGTTTTGGGTATTCCTTCAGATCAAAATAGATAAACACAGGTTCCCCTTTTCCATTTTGAATACCTCAATCTATAATAATAGAACAAAACATATAAAGTGACAACTGATTATATTCCTTTTTTATTGCCAATTAAAATTTGGAGATCTTTCCATTCTCCAGAAGCTGTTTTAAAGCTGCAATGTTGATTCTCAGTTTTTTTTTATTATTTCACACGTTTTGTTGAAGGCACATTTTCCCCTGGTGACTTATTATCGATGTTGTACTCAGTGTTGCTGCTGAATCCCTTTTAGAATTTCTTCCAGTATCTTTACTGAGAAAAATGCCATGTCTATCTCCTCACTGAGAATAAGAGTCTTTGCTGCGAAGATACTTTTTACTACTCTCCTGCTAGTTTTAGATTCTCGAGTAAAAGGGCAACATTTACTTCCTTTTTCCGCAAGAAAAAAAACAAAGTTTCCTGCAATGGATTCCCTCAGAGATTTGCATACGAAGTGTTGCCTTAACAGAATACATGCTCCAGGTGGAATTTTTAAAAAAAAAAATGCTCCATTTCAATGTTTTTTTCAATTATTTGTCCAAATAATATCTTTCATGTTGGGACATTTCATAGTTGTAGTCAACTCTGGAACTTCAAAACTGGCATCTAGGCTGGTTTGAGTGCCCAACAACTTCAGTTATCCAATTAAAGGTTGCTATTCCTCCATTTCAGCCTTTTGATAGCTGCAGCATGGTCTTTTTTTTTAAGCCTGACTTTGGCTCATAAGAATGGAGTAAAAATTTCCAAATAAGATTGCTGATGCAAAGTGATACTTGATCTGTTCTGCATGATTTCCAATCCAATATACTTTCCCCCAGTACAATTATTTTCTGATCTTTGCCAAAACCTTGCTCAGTCCTTTCCATTCTTAAAAATTCCCTCACTTTATAATAAACCATATTTCCCAGAATCTCTCAGCCTTGTGTTTTTAATCAAACCATTCAGACATGTTATGACATACCTCTGGAACAGGTGGGACCTGAGACTGTGTCCTCTTGCCTCGAGGCAGATGGAATCGGAAAGCTTCCCAATCAGCTCCGCAGTCAGACAGGGCAGCCCACTCTCTCCTGCCTTGTTTGGGTGTTCTATAGAGCCTTTTACTGAGTCCATCAGGAAGGATGTGAGCCTGAGAGAGGTGACTTCCAGGCAGTGGAGGCCTGCAGGTCAAACATACATGGATGACATTGCCATTTTCTGCTCGGCTCCGCTGTCACTACGCAGACTCGCGAGCATCTGACCCCAGTTCGAACTGGCCTCAGGAGCCAAGGTAAATTGAACTCGGAGCGAGGCCATGTTCTTTGGAAACTGGGCCGTCCGATCCTTCATTTTGTTCACCGTCACAACAGATTACCTGAAGATGCTGGGAATATGGCTCGGAGGGTCTGGGCTGTGCACAAAATCTTGGGAGGAGTGCACCTTCAAAGTGAAGCATTAATTAATCCTTTGGGAGCACCGCTCCCCCTCCATTATGGATAAAAACCTGGTCATCAGCTGTGAGGCACTCTGTTGTTGTACGTAGTACAGGCCTGGCCCATCCCAGAAAACTGTGCTGTTTCAGTCACTGAAGCCATCTTCCATTTAATCTGGAAGCCTAAGATAGGCCAGGTCTGCAGGGTCTCCATGTGCAAAGCTTTGGATGGGTGCGGGGGTTGGAGGACCCAATGTTGCCATCATGCTGATGGCAACCTTTGTGTGCAGCTGCATCAAGCTTTGCGTGGACCCTCGGTACGTGGACACCAAGTGTCACTTGGTACTAGGGTTCTAAATGACCCTAGTGTTGTAAAGGATGGGACTGGCCTCGCTACCGCAGAACGCTGCAAATAATTGCACCGTTCTATAACATCTGTCATTTGTAGAGAAATTTACAATGAAAAACACCTTTGACCAAAAGTCCATCAGGAAGTGGTCAGCATTTAATATCCTCGAAACCTTGAGGAAAAAGGAGAGGGTGGCTCCTTTGCGTGGTCTGCTGAACATTTTGTCAAAGTCATTCGGTAGAATGCATCATCACCAGAACTTTCCAATAAGCACCAAGACATCGCTCGGCAGGTGATGAGAAGGGCACTACCTGTGAGATCCTGGATGTACGCCCGGTCAGCCTGCACTATCGAATGCTACCCTTGAAGAGGCTGCAGGGAGGGTTGAGATTGTCACACATCTCCTTCTGAAATGTACCTTTGCAAAGGAAGTCTGGAGAAAGATGCAGCGGTTTTTGTCAAGGTAAGTCCTGAGCGGCGCTGTGACACAGAACTCTGTACTCTACGGTCTGTTCCCTGAGAGACACACTGCGACAAACATTGGCCGCGCCTGAAGGACCATCAGCTCTGTGAAAGACTCTCTTTGGTCTGCCTGAACCTTGTGGGCCTTCTAGAATAAGCAGTTGACCCTGATCAAGTATTGCAGACTGGCACATTGCCAGGCCCAGGACTACATGCTGAGGGACGCACTAAAGCTTGGGGCAGCTGCCGCTAAGGCACAGTGGGGAAAGACCACTGTCTAAGGTCTTTCTGCTGAAGGTAATTGGGATCCATTCAGTTATCGGACTCTCTTAGCACCTCAAATTAATGTAAATATTAGTTTTGGGCAAGAGAGGTCTTTGGGTTTTTTCAGGATAGTTAAAATTCAGCGTTTGTTTGTTTGCCTGATTTGGTACTGTTCTGAACTGAACTGCTTTTGTGTCAATGTATATATACAAAGATTTTAATGAATAAAGCATATTTTTGATGTTAAAAAGGCAAGGACACCGCCCCTGTACCACAAGCTTGCTAAATTCTATCGAAGACTTTGGCTTTAATGATGGCTTAAATGATGGCTATTCTGCCTGCATATTGTGTCAATTTTTTTTAATTTCAAAGTAAAACTGCTTGTAGCCCTTCCCAAGGTGGGAGCTAATCATTACTCATGGAACTTTTGGATTCTTGCCAAAATTTAAATGATATCAATTTTCCCCTCCCACCATGTACATTGAATTCTTGGCATGTACAGCTCGCACCACTACAGATGATGATTTATGCCAACATTTATGTGCATTTTGACCGGGACTGCATACTTCCTTTCACATAAGTTGCTAAAAGGGATTTCTGACGCCATATTCTGACCTGGGGAGGTAATGGCCTGTGGTATTATTGCTGGACTGTTAATCGAGAACCAGATAATTTTCTGTGGAATAAAAACCAAAAGAACTGTGCATGCTGTAAATCAGGAACAAAAACAGAAGTTGCTGGAAACACTCGGCATGTCTGGCAGCATCTGTGAAGGAAAAAACAGAGTTAACCTTTTGGGTCCAGTGACCCTTCCCTTTTTTTTCTTCACAGATGCTGCCAGACCCACTAATTTTCTGCGGACCTGGGTTTCCTGGAATCCATTTTTTAAAAAGTCTGGAGTCTGATGACCATAAAACTATTGTTAATTGTCATAAAAACCCACCTGGTCCACTAGGTCCTTTCGGAAAGAAAATTGCTGGTCTGGTCTGGCCTACATATGACTCCAGATCCACAGCAATGTGATTGACTCTTAACTCCATAGAATTTAGAGGGTTAAGGGTGACATGTTGGAAGTCTTCAAGATATTGACAGGAAAAGACAGGGTAGATAAAGATAAACTACATCCACTGTGTGGGGAATTCTAGAACTAGGGAGTGTGCTCTGAGAATTATGACCAGACTGTTCACTTCTACACAAAAAGGATTGTAGATGTTTGGAACTCTCTTCTGTGAATGGTTGCAGTGGATGCTGGATCAGTTGTTAATTTTAGTGAGATTGTTTAACAAAAAATTATCTAAGGTATTAAGTGATATGGGCCAAAGGCATTAGGGTACAGATCAGCCATGATCTCTTTGAATGGTGCAACACACTCAAGAGGCTGAATGACTTAATCGAGTTACTATGATAATTATCCTCTGGGCAGTTATATTTTTGTACTCAACAGGCTGAATGACCTAATCCAGTTCCTATATTTTTGTACTCATTGTGGACTACCAAATGACGACAGTCAGATGAGGTACAGTCTGATCAGGGTTCTAACTCAATGTCTGAAGCTTT